GATTCAGTTGCATGGTGCTGCAAAACTCACCTCTAGGTGACTGAGATTTTTAACATGAACACATCATGAATCTTGCTTGTTTTGTCCCTCAGATGAAGCAACCTTACAAAAGTCACTGTGCAAACATTTACAGTAGGCACAAAAACTTGTGCAAACCCAGCTCTAAATCCAAAATGCAAAATAAGAGCTGGGCTTGCTCCTTCAAAGCCATGGTCCGAGATGCAAAGTGGTGGAAACTCCAGGAATTGTTAATTTTTTCCACGGAGAGTAGTCAACCCCCAAAATAGCACAAGATCAGAAAAGCTGTAAAGCTTGTCAGAAAACACTAACCATCCCTGCCAAGCTTTCAGTTCACCCACAGAAGTATACTATTTCTGTTCTGCTTCAAGGAGGTCTCATTTCTAAAACAGATCCCTCTCCACCAGTCACTGCTGGTTCATGGCATCTGTGTGGCAGATGATTTGACCTGGGCAGCACCACAGGTGCCATGTGCATTTTTATGAGCCTGATGGTTACTACAGCCTTGTCTGCTGGTGTCAGAGGGGAGGGTTCCAGGAAAACCTGGAGCCTCACCAGTGTTAACCTCCAACAGTTGAAATTAAAATAAAAAAGCCAAAACCAATTTTATTCATCTCTACTCACAGAAGCACCACCACGCACATCAGGCTGTACAGGAGACTTAAAGCAGGGAGTAAGAGCTAGCAGAAAGGCACCAAATGGTGGGCAGCAGCTAACTGCTCTTGCCTTTCACAACAGTCAGCCTATGTCCTGCCTCAAAGACCTGAATATCTGCTCCAAAGACACGAAGCCAAGAGGAGGGCAGAGCCTCAGATCAGTTTTCTGGCACATGCTGTGTTTCTTGCAAGAACCATCTCTAGCAGTACATGGTATTTTAACTTTTAACCTGTGATACAGCCCAGGCAGTCATACATCCAGGGTCATCTGCCAGCATATGCCTCCCTGACAGACTGGTTATAACCACATACTTTGGCTCCACATAGAACCTATTAACCTTTTGCCTAGGAGAAAGGGCAAGTGCCCAGAGCTGATAGAAATGCTTGAAAAGAGGAACTCTTTATCACTATGGCACCAATTAAAGCTGCCTGGAGTCAAGGCAACAGGCTTGGGCTGCTGATGGAGAAAGGTCGAGGTGGCAGAGAACAAGGATGCTCACTAGGCCATGACATGCTCTCCTGCTGCAGGAGAGGAGCCTGTACAAAGAAGAAAGCAGTCAACAGCAAAACTGAACCAGAAAGCACAGCACAAGGGCTTTCACAATTTCCCCTTGAAATGCCTGATGTGATACACCATGAACAGGCTGCTGTGACTTGCAGATGACACAAGTCTTCATCAGGCAAGGCTCAGACTGAGGCCAACCTTGATGAATCGGTGGGATGATGTGAAGTCAAAGACAAACTTCAGGGCAGACATGGGCAAAGCAAGGAGGCAGGGGGTGGAAATCAAAGGCACAGTGGCCAACTGGGAGTAATCGGCCTCACAGAACAGATCTCCAAGGAGGGGACAAGGTCTGCCACCAAATGTGAATACATGCAATGACAACTGTTTTTCCAAAGTAGTTCTCATGCTGGGAAGCACATGGTAAGTGCATCCAGTGGGAATGGCTCCTGCTCAGAGGCAGGGCTCCCAGCTGGGAGAGCCTGGCACAGGAGTCTCCTCCTGGGGATCAGCATCCCCAGCTGGAGAGTGCCCTGGGAGAGTCCCTGAGGGACAGGTGGGGCAAAAGCTAAGGGACCCAAGTTTATTCAATCTGGAGGAAAGGAGATGTGATAAGGAGCCTTTAAGTACAGAAAGATGCTGATGGCTTCCTGCCCTCATCAGGGTCCATCACCTGTCCCTTTGAGCCCAAGGCACTGGTAATGCAACACACTGTCTGTATGTCCTGACTCCCCCTCACTGTTGGGAGATAATGGACATGTGAGCAATCCTACATGTGTGCATGCCTCAGCAAGGACATGACAAGGACATAGAACAAAACTCAGCAACCAACTCCAGGAGACGGGTTGGGCGGAGAAAGACATTGAGCGTGGCGTTTATTAACCAGTCATGAGAAGGCTCGAAGCACGTGGACAAAGCTAACTGTCCAATCATAAGGATTGTACCACGTACCGTTTGCATACACAGGAGAAACCTATAAAAGGGCTTGCTTACCTTCAATAAATGGGCATTGCTTGATCACACTGGTCGTGTGCATGTCCATAGCTCCCGCACCTCATGTCACGCACGCACACCCACCCATGCCTCCCCCAGCTGCAGGAATCACCCCGGCAGCAGCATTGCTCCACAGCATTTAAGCAACTGCTTTTGTAAGCAGGTTATGAAAGCAATCCCTGGCATCCTTTCAAACTTTATTTGCACTGCAGCCTGCAGCGTTGTGGCCTGCTGGCAGGCAGGGGAGCATGGTGACTCACAGGTGTGCAGTGACTGGCCCCCCAGCTAGGCTCTGCACCCCCTTTTCCCCTCTTAGCCCAGACATGTGCTGGGTGCCACAGAATCCAGCTGTATCAGTATGAAGGGCTGGTCACAACTTTTTTGGAACTCTAGTGGAGAAAGCAATGTAGGTTAATGCTATGCCAGCACCACCTTGGACAGAAGGACCTGTCACATCCCCAAAACATTGCATCTTGCCATCACTGCTTTAGGCTGCCTTCCCAGCTACCCACCCTGCATCTCTGACAGGCAGGGAGTGAATCCTATTTACAGAACCATAGAATCACCTCGGTTGGAAAAGACCTTGAAGATCCTCCACTCCAACCATGAGCCTCACACTGACCATTCTCAACTCCACCAGATCCCTCAGTGCTGGGTCAACCCTATTTCCCAATTTGCCCCCTGAAAAGCAGACAACAAAGGAAGAGACACTCAGCAAGGCCTGCTCTTTGCCCAACCTTGCCTTTGAGGAGCCCCACACCATCCAAAGCATATCTATATCATCCCTCTCGTGCAAAGGCAGCCAGCACAAGACATTCTTCCCTCTGTGACAAGGTGCTTCTTTGCACCCCCATCATGATCTTTGGGGTCCTGCTCCAAGAAGGACCTGCTGGGTCAGAGCCTTTTTGACCCAGCCACAGTCAGCCAGTACCAGCACAGGTTCAGCACAGCCTTCAGCAGCCAGCAGCTCTGAAGACATGCCAGAGGTGCTTGGGGAACTCCACAAGAGAGGTCAGACCAGCACCTGGGGCCAAACAGTCAGCATCTCCAGGGCAAGAACAAGGGTCCACCACACTCAGAGCCACACTGGGTAGTATGCCAGCCACCCTCAAGTCCTTTGCAGAGGTCACACACTGTTGTGATGATCCGACTGCCCCAGGGATGGGACCTAGAGGAGAAGGAGGGAGCTGCTCTGGTTCCCACCTGAGAAACCATCTCTGCCAGAGAGATGTCAGCACTGCAGCCCCATGTGTGAGCTACAGCTTCAGAAATAGGAGACAGACCATCTGCAACACCTGGGCCTGGGAGAGGCTCCTTGGCAGGGTATGGCATGAGCACATGGTATGGGTGTGGCTGTGGCAAGAGGGCAGCCAGCAGGTCTCTGCACCCAGGGTAGCTCGGCTGGCCTCCTCTTTGCAGGATTTCTCTTGCTCATAAAGGCAGCACCACACCAGGTGATGTCTAACAGGGACCTCGCATTGCTCCTCAAATCCAAGGTCTGCAGAGAGACCCTGGAGCCCCAGAACAAACATTTTCACCAGCAGTAACTATCTCAGATACACCAACAACTGCTAAAAATCCACAGTGGTATTGCTGCTGTGACCTGTGAACAGGAGGAAGAAGCCCATGAAGGAAAAACACACCCAAAATCCCTGGTGCCAAGGGCAGGAGCAAAATAGCAGCGATGTCCAGCCACAATTGCTCTCCCTCTGTGGTTGCTGCCCTGCGCTGACATCTCTGCAGCAGCAGAGCTGCAGAGAGGCAAACATGAGGAGACTGGTTTTCCAGCCCTATCAGCTTAACCCTCCATCCTGCAAAAATGAACTGGGGTCTTCGGGTATGAGGCATCACCCTCAGTCTCATAGAAATGAGCTTTAGAGAAGTAGAACAGACCCACAACAGCTGAGCCCAGCAGGGCCAAGGTGGCAAGCACAGCAGTAAACCACCAATGTATGAGACCCCCCCACCACCAAAGGAAGAAAGGGGAGAAAAAAGAGCTGACGAGATGCCAAACCAAAGAACAGCCTTAGGAGCAGCCCTGTTGAACATGCCAACTTTGATGAGCAGAGCAGCCCTGTGCAACACATCCTACCCCTGTCTGCCCAGCAGACAGCAGCTCACAGATCCTGGGCATTTTCAATTTAACTTATTTATAATCTGCAATTCCAGTTAGATGAGGGAAATGCTGCTGTTCAGCAAGACACATTGTTTTATCTGTTGCTTCCTTCACCACAGGCTGGTGGGAGCAGGATGGGTTTTGGACATAAAGGAGGGGTAATCTGGCTGCTAATGAGAAATAAATGGAGAAACTCTGCAGGAGGTCTCAGATGCTGGGCAAGCACCCAAGCTGCTCCCCTCCACCCATGGTGCTGTTTCTCTGCTAGACACTCTCTCCAAAAGGGATGGGGCCAGAGTCTTCTGCTCCCAATACCCCCATAACCTCTCTCAAATCACTTGGCTGCCTGCTCTCCACCCCTGAGACTCAGTTTCCAAGACCAAACTAGGCAGTCTCACTTTCCCAAGGACACTGCTTTTCTGAGACACCAAGCACCCATAACTGACTGAAAAGGATTAGATGTGAGTGTGCAGCACACAAAAGTGGTGATTCCTTCCAGAGAAAACATGGATAAACTGTGCGTCATGTCAGCAAAAGGCCTGAGGAGTAGATATCCCATGAGCATAGCACCTTCCAGCAAGCACTGCCAACTCCTCCTGTGTTCAGGAGACACAACTTCCCACCCCAAAGCAAAGATGGCTTGGGATGGAATGTGAGCAGTGCAGTGGGGATTGACCCCAGGGGCTTTTTCACCCCTCACAACATGGACACTCACCCATCAAGTAGCTCTTCACCTTCAGGTATCCGACAGCCAGTCGTAGGATGGAGAGTTTATCAAGCCTGCTGCGCACATCTTCAGGGAATGGCAGCAAGTTAGTCAGCTTGTTCAGCTCCTGGTTGAGCCGGTCGCGATGCCGCTTGGAGGGGTTGGACTTCACACCCTCAGGGGGGGGTGGTTTGGGGCTGGAAGAGGCAAAGGAGAGTTTAACCAAACTGGGCCTGTCCAACAGGTTCTTTCCAAACCCAGTGTTGACTTCAGTGCAGCCACAACAGTAAAACATCAGGTAGCCAAGGCAAGGCCACATGGCAGCAAGAGAAGCTCCAGCAGGCCCACAAGGCTGGAGGAGACACGGCCATCCCAGATCACCACCTTGTGCAGCCCCAAGCATGATGTTCTCCAGCTGGACTGTGGGGAGATCCTCAGATGGGCACTTTAATGTGCAGCCTGGCTGAGATAGCTCAGCTGGATACTACAGCCTTGCTTCACCACTGAGCCCTGGCAGGGAAAGGGACATGGAGGGCGGAGACTCACAAGCCATCAGAGCATCCTCCTGAGGTCTAGCCTTTTACACACACTCTGCTCTGACCATCCTTTCCCCTCTTCTTCCTCATCCCATAGCCTTCCCACGCAGCAGGTCTCTCCCTGGCCATGCTCCACATGCTCACGCCAGGTCCTCACCACAGAAAGCATGACCTTGAGCTGTTCAGAAGATTCACATCAGCTCATCTGCCAGCCCAGGACTGAGCAGCTCTCAGACAGGCCTTGGCAATGAGCATGCTAACAAATAGCAAGAATGGAAAGCAGGAAGGTCCAAAAAGATTGTTATTTGAATTTATTTCAGCTAGCTTAAATTTCCTCTGACTGCTCAGAACTTGAATCCATTCCTTTAATGACAAATATTACATGGAGGAACACATGTGAAAGTTAACAGATTGGACAAAGAGATACTACATACAGAGGTTTAGGACACAGCACTTAATAAACAGCCTGTTTTTAAAAGAAAAAAAATGCATATTTTAAAAAAATAAATTCTTTTAATAGTTTGATTTCTGATCCTTCCAGGTGGGCATTTTCAACCTGAAACAGCATCTCATGCCAAGCTTAGGCTCTGGGAGCAACCCTCAGTCTGCAGAAGGAGGGATCACAAGGGCAGCTCTTGTCTGTCTTAAGCTGACATGGGAACCTGTCTCTATCAGCTGCAGTTGTTTCACTACAACTGAAGTTCCAGCCACAGCGGTAAGTAAAGTTAGTTAATAACTTTAATGAGTCTTGGATGTCACCTTGCCTTCTTTGATTTTTTAATGCCAATTTGAGTTTTCTAGCTGGAAAAAAAAAAACCTTCAGACCCCCACTCTGTATTTGGTTTGACTGTATCCCCTAATATGCAACTCACTGTTTTGATGTAATTTCTCTAACCACAAACTCCCTCTCTGCAGGCATCCTTGCTTCATAAAGTAGCTTCAAATAACAAAATCCATCAGTATTTAACAGCAATTTGGGCTCTCCCCTCTACTACTACTCTCAAATCTTGCCTGGCAGGACTGTTCACATGTGACAAGACAGGAAATGAACATTAAATGAAATGCAGTGAGGTGCCTGTTGAATTTTCATTGCAAACAGATACCAAGCATGAATGGAAAATTGTAGTATTTTGCCAGAAAAACTCAATCCTGTTTTGTAACATAAGCATCAGGAGAAATATACCCTGCTTCTCAGAGACACTGGGTACAACTCAGCACCAAACTCATCCTTACAAGCTGGGCAAAACACAGCAGCACCAGTGCTTTTATGTACTCAATTAGTCAGTGGCTTAAACTCTTTTGAAATCACTGTCATTCATCAGGAAGTTAAAAAAAAAAAAAAATTTTCCTTTGACTGATTTAAAAAAAAAAAAAAAGAGAAGTAAAGAAAATTAAGAAAATTATTCTGAGCTCTCCTTTAAAGAAAAGTCCTCTGCCTACTCACTGTCCAAATGTAGCCCACAAAAAGCCGTAAGGAAGAGAAAATGAGCTTGGAGATGAGCAAGCAGTGCTGCTCTTTATGGGAGGGGGCAAAATGCAGACCAAAATGTAGCAGGGTCTCTTGGATAGTCTGGCCCAGCACTGGAAGTGCTCTGGCTGAGACAGATGGGGTGACATAGCCAGCAGCAGAGCACCATAAGGCAAAGGCGGACACCCCAACATCTCTGTTCCTGCACATCCCCAGCTGCAGCATGCACGGTGCTTCATGGCCACCACTGAGAGGAAGGATGGTGAAGAGCAAAGCAGCTCTGGTGATGTCTGGCAGCTCTTTCGGTATCCCATTTCCATGGGAAAACGCTGCACCCAGGAGCTCACATGGCCAGAGGCTTCACTGTTCTCCATCCTTAAGGATGCCACGGGGAAACAGCTTCCAGGTCCTCATCGGTGACAAATCTGTTAGCACTCTGCCTGGCAGTTATGAAGCTCCCAGGAGCTCCGTGCAAGCTGGCAGGCAGGGCCAGGAAAATTACCAGTCCCCATCACACACATGCACCAAGGGAAAGGCATTGGCTTGAGCACAACCACATTATTATCCACCACAATCTGCATAGAAAAACATTGAAGGAAAGGACATTTCCCCTGCTAACAAAAAAAGTGAAGCTTGGTCTAGATGTTTAACACCTGTTTAAATTCCCTGCCTTTAGGACTGTCTCCATCCACAATGCAGGGCAAAGCACTGGCAGTCTCTGTTGGCCCCGGGCACCGTACAAAGCTGTCCCAAGGAGCACTACTACCCAAGTGCAACCCTGGGGTTCAACAAAGCAGCTCAACACCTACTCATCAAGCGAGGAAAAGGCATCTTAAAGAGGTCAGAACCCCCATTCTGTTTGCAAGAGCCCTAATGCAGCAGAGTCTTTCGAAATGGATGCAGTGCAAAGCTCAGTGTGGTTGTGCCACGAAGTTCATGATGAAGTTGCTGAGAAGAGCTGCTGACCCCTGTGTAGATGGACCAAAGCAGAGGCACAGGAAAAGCTTTGCTTCCAGCAGGGCAAAGACTGTGCCACTGCTTCAGTGTTGTTTTTCCCCAGCTACCCTTTGAACTGAGAACCCAGCAGGAAGTTTATCACTTTTTCAAGCTGGCAAGTACCAAGTGATATTAACTCTTAACAATAGCTGAGGTTGTCTGAGCTGATATATTGTATCCTAATTTTTACTGATTTTTTTAATAAGTAAAAAGCCCTAAGCAAGCTGAAAAGGGACCAGAGAACACCCTAACCCCATCCTTCCCTCCCCACCAGGCTGGCTGCTCATCCCGCCACCCCCAGCCCTGCTCTGCCTGACCTCTCCCAGCAGGACGCTGCCGCAGATCTGCCCAGTCACAAAGGAAAATAATCTCTTCCGATTCCCAAGCTTGGCCCTGCAGTACCAGGAATTGAGGTCTCTTCTGCTCCAAAAGGACACCCTCTCCCACACCCCGGGCCACCAAATCCGGCCCAAACCCTCAGTCTGGCCCCACCGCAGGGCTGGAATTGCCGCTCTGTGAGGAATGGGGGAAAGGTTTGAGGCAGAGAAACTACTCCTCACATTTCACACTTCTTTAAGACTCTCTCATAAACACCCCAGAGAGGCTCTGGATCACCTTCGCACCATAGATTTATAACACTGATGCTCCTTCCTTCATCCCAGACTTGGGTTCAGCTTATCTGATTCCCCCTCACTGCCTCCTAGAAACATATATACACCCTTATTTCCTATACACACAGTAACCTGAGGGAAACAGGCTGATGTGACTTCAGAGCTAGTATGGGGGGAAGACATGGGAGTCCCAAAGCCAGGGAACTCCAGCAACACAACACCTATTGAGCAGCATGCTAATTAATTATTAAGAAATAGGTAACTTTTGGTAACTAGTAATTGTTGTATGTTTGATTTATGCAAGCACTGAAACACAAGCCAGACAGCAACTCCAACCAGGGGACCTCTGAGCATCTCAAACTCTCCAACGAGCTTCCTCAGAAGAACACCGGGGACACGGGACAGTCATCACCGGGATTTTTATTTTCCTCCAGCATGCCAGAGCCTACAAAGCATTAGCTCCAATTAACCCTAATTAACACAGAGAAGCCCAAGCATGCTGTCTCCCTATCTCTTTTGCTGCTCCAATGCTCACATCAGAGCAGCTGAAGGCAGTTCCCCATAACCAGTTTAGCTCTCGCAGCCCGGTTTTCCACCGCCCCGCCCGGTCCCACACACCTGCCCCCCGCTCCCTCCGCCCTCCCGGCGGCTCCCAAGCTGCCGCAGCCGGGTGTTACAGGAGCAAACACCCATCCCGGAGCACACCCGACACCCCACCCCCAGCTACACCCACCTCTTCGGCACCGGCTTCTTCCTCTTCCTCCCGGCGTACATCCCGCCGGCAGCAC